ACCATCCAAATGTATCTCACAGTTTCAACACCACGGATAAATCCAAAGACATTTAGTTTTTTTCTCTTGATTGTATTGAACTTTGCAGCTGTTGGTAAGGGGTAGGACCAGTCTGATTGACAACTCTAGGGATTTGATACTCATCAATGAGTGCACACAATGACTCCAGCTCAGCATCTTCTTCTTCATGCCTTATCACTGGTGGCAAAATTGTAGGATTCTGAAATTATTCAGGTAAAGAAATATGGTCAGAAACAATTGGTTTCAGAAGTGAATTTGTTATAGACAATTGAATACTTAAATGAGTGTAATGAACACTTACCTGTGAGGATTCTTCTGTCCCAACTTTGGCCACCTTTGCCCTTTTACTTTTACCTGTTCCAGTAGCTCTTGCTCTTGCTCTTTTTATTCCAACCTATATTCAAGCAAATAAATCAATTCAATGACATAATAAAAGTCAGATAAACATACAATAACAATAACTTATAAATTTTATAGAAAACTTAAAATTGTATCAAAAAGCCCTTTTCAATGGAGAGTTGTCCACTTCTTGGGTTACTTGGCTTTGGTTTTGGCTTTCAGTGTTCATTTCTTTCTCTTTTCTTTTCTCACAAGACCTTGCATTGTGCCCAACCATGCCACATTTTTTGCATCTGACAGTTGGTTGTTGCCTCTTCATTTTCATAGGTTGTTTACCTCTCCTCTTTTTCTCTTTCTTTTTAGGCTCTTCTTGATCTCTTATTCTTGCCTTTGAAGGCCTGCCAGCACCCCTTCCAAATTTGGGAGGTAAAGGAGGAACAAAAAGGGTCTGTCTCCACAATGATGGACCATTTGTGCCTAGTATTGACCCCCTATACATATTCCTATAACACTCTTGTGAATAACAATCATCTACAAAGTCCACAGGTACCAACTTCTGAGCTATTATGGCACTACAAGCATGCTTACAAAGTATGCCCCCCAAATCCCATACCCTACAACTACAAATTCTCTTCTCCAAATCAACAGTAAACTGTGATCCAACATAACAATTAATCTGATAGTGCTTATCATCACATTTAATTGGCATGCAGTCAGATATTGTGACAAGTGTTTCTGAAGGATCATGTTTATGTTAGGGCAAATTTTGTTCTTCCACTTCAAGTTTGCCTTATATCTTTTTTCCTGCATCTTAATGCATATGTATTCTCTAATCTACTCAAGCATAGTGATAATGGGCTTTTACCTTGCTTCAAGAATGTTGGAGTTAAATGTTTCATACACATTATTGAGCAACATGTCACATTTTGGCAGTTCAGAAAAAAAAGTCCTTGACCAGTGCTGTGGTGGTTTATCAAGAAACCACTCAAAAGCAGCAGGGCTCATCTTTTTAATGTCAAGCATCCTTGTATTAAATTCACCAACAGTGGTTGCTTGTGTTGCTCTCCACACAGCATACTTATAGGCCAAACCCCTATACCCAGCCTTCAAAAAATTGTTGTGAAGATGCCTCACACAGAACCTGTGAGTAGCCCCATGGAAGACAACATCAAAGGCCTTGATAAGCCCCTTCTGCTTATCAGAAATGAAAGTATACTGCTCAGGCCTGGAAATGCCTAAATCTTTCTTCAGAATAATGAGAAACCACTCCCATGTTTCAAAACACTCACTCCCTACTACAGCAAAGGCAATAGGAAACAATGTGTTGTTTGGGTCCACACCTACTGCAGTAGAAAATATCCCTCTATGTGGACCCTTTAAATGACAGCCATCTACACCCACAATTGGTCTACACCCATTCTTGAATCCCTCTCTCAGAGCATTAAAACAAACATAAAATTTGCTGAATCTCTCCTCACCATCAAACTTCTTAGTGGCAAGAACAACAGTTGACCCAGGGTTTGAAGTTCTCAACTCCTCTGCATAATCCCACAATTAGGAATACTGATCATCAGGATCTCCCTCAAGTTGTGCCAGGGCTCTTCTCTTAGCCCTATAGGCCCGATCCTTTGATATATTAACATTAAGGTTGTTAATAATATCAAGTCTCCAACCTTTAACACTTCTTTTAGGACCAGTTTGAAAATGGTATAAGAACTTCTCACTTAGCCACTTTGATTTGATGTTTCTAACCTCAAAGTTTCAGAGCAAGAGTGATTGGGGTTGTATTCTCTAATTTGGAAACAGGCTTGATCCTTCATTTTCAAGAGATTGATCTTTCAATTACACTCTTCATCTGCACATCTCACATACACCCTTATCTTATCATTTTTTGCTGTCTTAAGGTTTCTGTTGGTTTTAATTGAATGTGATTGGATGGCTTTTCTAAATTCTTCTTTAGTTGCAAACACCATCCCAATATCAAACACAGGATCCCACACTTGGTTAGAATTAAACACAGGAGGATCTACATCTTCATCATCACTACCCCTCAGTTCATCTAAATCATCAGGAACATCAACCACATCATCATCACTATCAGAACTAGAATCTCCCTCATCCCCCCCACTAGCCCTGCATCCACATTCTCACTAAACAATGCATCATCATCATCACTGCTACTATTTTTGAAATCATAATCACTATCAAGAAAATCCTCCTCATCTTCTTGCCTCTCTAGTTCACTCTGTTCATTTTCATTTTCAACATCTAAATTCTCACAATCACCACCCTTCCCACTCTCAGAACCATTGCCCTTCCTACTCTCATTTTCATTTTTTTCACTCTCAGAGCCACTACCCTTCCCAC